CAACTCAAAAAAAAAAAAAAAAGATGGAGATGGATTTGAGTCTGTGTGACTCTGGAATCTATACTCTTAACCATTACTCATGTACTAAACTAGATTAATAGTGTATAAACAGATGGGACTTCCTTAAGGGAAGTTAGCAAGTTGGCTATGGAGCCTGGAAGGGATATTGGGAGATGGTTTAGAGGAAGAGGCGTGAGGTTATCTGCATGGAGCTAATGGTTGAGAGGGACATGAGAGTGCTCATCACAGCTCTTTGGGTAGGGAGTGTTTTATGATCCCAAAGCTGGCAGCCATAGAGGAGAAGAAACTCCTTAGACCAGGAGGGAGTCCCAGATAGAAAGAAGAGTGAGAGAGGCAGGAGACAAAAGCCTTCTCTGTCAGTGAAGTGGGATCCACTTTCATGAAGTCCTGAGTCACGAAGGCTCAGGAGGTAACCTGAACATTGCATTTGCATTAAGTAAAGGAAAAGGTCAGTAGATTTTCCTCCTTGCTCTCAGTCCGTTCTCAGAAGTGTCTCTTGCCACTCCTCCCCTTTTGCAAGTAAGGCTTCAAATTAGGAAGCAGCCTCTAAAAGGCCAAAAAGGAAATGAACGGAGGAGAAACACAAAGGGAATTTGAGTAAGTGGAAGGTGGATGACCCAGGCTCTGTTACACATGCTTGGATTGCAGATGAAACCCAGATTTGCTGGAGAAAGCCGTCAGGGAGACAGGACCATGTGGCTGCTCCTACCTCTGCTCCTTTTCTGCCTCCCAGGTGAGTAGAGCTGTGATTTTGGGAATCTGGTATTGCCGGGGGAGGACAGTAGATAGAAAGGTAGTCCTGGGTTCAAGCCAGGGGTGAAATGTCCACAGAAATGAGAGCCATCCATTCATTAATCTATACATCCTTTTATACATTCAGACACTCGTTCATGGAGCTTGCAAGCATTTATTAAGCACCAGCTCTGTGCCAGGACTGTTCTGGGTGCTATAATTGATAGCAAATTCTGCACTGAGGAACTCATGGGGGAATGAGGGAGTCAAGTATCTACAATACAGTGTGGAACTTGCTACATTAGAGATTCATTCATGTGGTGGCGAGAGTATGCAACAGGGACCCGTAACTCTGCTTTTGGAATGATGGGTGACTACACTGGAAGTTGGTCCTGAAAAATGAATGAGCCAACGGAGGGAAAAGAAGTAGCTTATGCAAAAGTGTGAGGCTATTAAAGACTATGGAAAGCTCAAGAATTAATAATAGTTCTGTTTTTGTCAAAGTTTAGTTTAAGAGGGTTGAAAACCTTTGTGAGGGCCGGGCTTGGTGGCTCAGCCTGTCATCCCAGCACTTTGGGAGACTGAGGTGAGTGGATTGCCCGAGCCCGTGGGTTCAAGTCCAGTCCGGGCAACTTGCCCAGACCTTGTCTCTACAATAGACCAAAAATTAGCCGGGTGTGGTAGCGCGCACCTATAGTTCTGGTTACTTGGAAGGCTGATGTGGAAGGATCGTCAGAGCCCAGTGGGTCGACGCTCGAGTGGCGTTGAGTGTGCCACTGTCCTCTGGCCTGGGCGACAGAGTGAGATTCCATCTCGGGGAAAAAAAAAAGAAAAACTTTGTGACAAAAAAGTTAATGAAGGATCTAGAATGCCATTCTCAACATCCACCTTAAATCCTTTCTGGAACAAGGTGTGGTGCAAGCAGGTAAATGAAATTGTACCCCAAATGTTGAACTTTCAGAAGAGAAACTCTTGAAATAGACATTCAAAATGCGAGAAGGTGGGAAAGCACATTTTTCTGTGGGAAATAAATTTAGGGTAAAAATCAGAGGGAATTCATGTTTGCAGAATGAGTTTTATGTTTGCAGAATGAGTTTTACGAACCGGGAAGAGGCCCAGTGAAGACAGGGACCACAGTGGGCTGGGGAAAGGAGAGAAACGCAGAGATAAGGACAGGCTTCTTTTCAGGGTGGAGACTGAGAAAGCCCGACCGCACTGCAATAACAGCTACCCAGTGCCAGCCTGGAGAAAACAGTGCCAGCCTGTAGAAGAAAACCCATCCGTGGACCCGGGAATGTGAGAGGCACTCACTAGGGTGGATGGACTCGAGCTACAAATTCACAGGGGAGGGAGCCTCAGGGAGACAGAGGGCAGGGAGAGGCCAAGCCAGCCCCATAGCAGGAAGGAACTGGGGGAGGAGAGGAGGCAGGGGGGGATGCCTACTGAGGATGGAGAAGGAGGGAGTCTTAGGAGGCAAGGCTGGGTGGGTTCCCAGATGGAGCAGGGAACAATTAAAGTTTGAGTTGGATGATAGAAGTACTAGGGAGGTAGGACAGGTGCTTGAGCAGAGGAGAACTGTGCATGAGAATAAATGATACTGTTATTGTGAAGGCATCATCTGTGACCGGGTTCCCAACCTCAAATGCCTACAGCATGAAGCAGGCCGGGGAAGAAGCCCTCGTGTGCTCTCAACGGGGCAGTCATCCCACACACTCTTTCCAGGATATTGGGTGGAAAAGATAGATTTAAAGGAGAAGGCGAGTTGTGTGACACCGCCCAAAACATAGTTTTCTTATCAGTGAAATGACAATGACATTGGATGATCTCCAAGGTCTCTGAAGGCCCTCGTGATCTAGATCTTAGACTCAGAAGGGCATTTAAAAGACATGTATCTCGTTATACAGAGGACGTGGTCAAAACGTCTTAAATGGTGGCGAGGACGAGGACAAAGGGCAAACTGCAGTGCGGTGGGCATTCTGGGAACCCCCGTGATGAATAAAGTGAGTACCCAGAGCAGTGGTGGCTAGAGTCAGCTCGTACCAGCTCACAAGAGCCAGTTGTGGGAATGTCATCCTAACGCTGCGTTTGGCGGTCACTGGAAATTGGTCACTGAGAGTCTTTACACCACAGAAACCAGCAAATGTGACAAATTAGGACTTTCTCACCAGGAAGCTGGTTTACCAGCACATCGCTGCTTGGTTATTTCCACTTGCTGAAATCTGATGAAATGATCTAAGTGCTCTATTCTGGGTGCAGTTAAGTTGAAAATGGAAACATCCTATCCTTCCCATCCCTTTGTGGGGCGCTGGCTGGTCTCTCCAATTTCGCAGGTTCACCTTCCCCTCCAGGGCATGTTGGCAGCTGGGAGTTCCTCATGGGCCCTGATTTGAACTTCGAAGTCACTTGTAGAGGCTTAGATTTCAGTTCTCCTTTTTCATGGCAGCTCTGACCCTAGCTTCCTTCTTTCTTTCTCAGCATTCTCCTTCACCCACCACACCCATCTGGGTTACAAACACTGTCTGGAAAAATGAGGTCACTTAAAATGTGTGGAGGAAACTGCGAAGTTTACAGTGCCAGCCTGAGAACGGGAGATGGGAAAAGGGTAGAAAGAAAGACGGAAAGACAATTCCAGAGCATGGAGGAAAAGGGCAAAGAGAGAAAAAAGTGAATTCCAATATAAAATTGAGCAAAAATATGGCTGGGCACGGTGGCCCATGCCAATAATCCCAGCAACTTGGGAGGCCGAGGTGGGAGGATTGCTTGAGCCCAGGAGTTCGAGGCCAGCCTAGGCAACACAGCAAGACTTTGTCTCTACAAAAAATCCAAAATACTAGTCAGGTGTGCTGGTGCACGCCTGTGGTCTCAGCTACTTGGGAGGCTGAAGCGGGAGGATTGCCTGAGCCCAGGAGGTCGGGGCTGCTGTGAACTGTGATCGGGCTACTGCATACCAGCCTGGATGACAGAATAAGACCCCTATTCAAAAAATAAATAAATGAAATGAGCAACAATAGAACTCCTATTTATTATGCGTTTTATGATCTACAAACACTTTCAAAAAAGGTGATACAATTAGCTCCCTGAACAATCTGGTGAGCTAGGCAAGACAGGTAGCATTGACCTCATTTTATAGGCGACATGGTGAAGGGATTAGCTCATGACATAGCAACTAAGTAAAACTGAAAACAAAGTCTAGGCCTATGACCTCCATAGAGCTCTTTCCAGTGGCCATGGGGGTGACTAGAATAAAGTTAAGCTTGTAATATTCTCAAAATGGCTCACAGTGCTTCCTGCTGACCTTTCTGCTACGTAACTGGTGTTTCTCTTCTGAATTGATTGCTCTCCAATATTCACTAGCTCCCATTAACCTCAAGCAACCAGCAAGCACATTCATCAGAAAACGCTCATGTATATTTATATAACCCCTCCAGTCATCTCCAGCAACAGACCAGATTTCGTTAAGACCTGCTACTCTTATATTCAGGCAGCACTCTAGCAGGACAGAGGAAAATACCTCGGAGTTCGCAGAACCTTCTTTTTCCTTATCTTCAGGAACCCAGGACTGAATCATGGCTCGTCACACTCTCTCGTCATTAGTCCACACAAGGCCTTCTTTTATCTTGACTACACGTAATTTAACAAACATCTATGAACTCAGGGGCCAACCCAAGAACTGGAATGTCACCAACAAATTAGGTCCACCTGCTCCTTCCCAATCTAATCTTGTTTCCGCTTTCAAACATCAGTACTTTGGTATCATTTGCCAACATTTTACGTGAATATTTGCTTTTGTCAGGTTTGTGCCATTGAGGAGAAAACTGGGCTAAGGAGCTATAAGCAAAGTTCTACATCTGAGGGACTGTGACTCATTGAGCCATGTTCCCTGTCTCCACCTTTTTCTTTAAGCTCTCTTTCTTTAGACTCTCCTATCTGTTGGTTGCCTTGCTTTGCTTCCATGTTGGAGGTGGCTTTACTTACTGGGCTTTTGCTTACTGGACTTACCCACACTCCCTATCCTATCCCTGAAATGTATGTCTTTACAAGTGACTTCAAAATTTTAAGACCCATCTTTTGTCTTTCAGAGGATAAATTTACATCGCTTTCATTTCAATGAGAAGGTTGCCTGATAGAAATAAACCATCTTGAATGCAGAAGGCCCTTTCCTTCCCAGGATGACCTTCCAGACTGATTGGGTTGGGGATTCCCCATGGCACTTCCAGATTTTTCAGAATGCAATTTTGCCTCTGCAATGGGACTGGTGTTTACTTGACCTAGAATGGTTGGGAAAGTTGTTTCTTGGGTAAACTTTGTGAACCAGAAAGACCCCCAAGACATCGGTATTTACCCAAGAGAGATCTGGAGAAGGAAACAGCTCAGTCCAGAGGAAGCCAAACATAAGTGGCTCTGGTCCCTGGAAGGGACAGAACGGTCCTGTGGGTTTTCCTCCCTCACTGTGCTGTCCCCTGGTGTGTATATGTGTGTGTGTGTGTGTGTGTATCCTCCCACATCATTTTTTTTCCTTTTATAAATGCTTTTCTAAAGACAGAGTCTCACTATGTTGCCCAGATTGGAGTGTAGTGGCAATTCTCAGGCACGGTCATAGTGTCAGTTTCTAACTCCTGGGTTCATGGAATCTTCCTGGCCTGGCCTCCTGAATACCTGGGACTAGAGATTTATACCACTGTGCCTGGCTTCTGTCAGATATTTTAAATCATCTCTAGATTGGTTGAATCTGTGGGTACAGATCCTCAAATATGGAGAGCCCGACTACTTAGGAAATAGTATTTTGACTGTATACTGTAAGGTTAAAGACAAAAAACTAGTAAACAAATATACAAATAGGATTAGAGCGTGTGTGTGTGTGTGTGTGTGTGTGTGTGAGAGAGAGAGAGAGAGAGAGAGAGAGAGA